CCGCTGGACCTCCTCAGGATGGGACAGCCAGATCCAGGGCTCGTAACAGAAATAATAATAATGTTTCATTAATCTGTGCTTGAATTATTGAAATGAAATGAAGTATTACATTGATTTATATATGTGGTAATCAGCAATGTTTGATATGACAAGGCAATCGTCACCCGCACCCAGACAAGGACAAATACTTGTATTTTTTTTCGCATGTTCTGTCTGGCTGTGAAGCAAGCAGAATTGATGTCTGAATGCTGGTGACAAGCCTTACAGATTTACTCTCAGGTGGAGCTTCAAAGCGTTTGCTTTTAATGTCACGCCTGATACTTAAAACTTTATTGTTTTTGTTTTTGAATGCTTTTTCCGACCAGACACGGAGACAGAGGTGAAAGAGAAAGGAAGAGACAAAAGGTGGTGGTGGTGGTGGAGGGGGGGGGGGGGGGGGGTCCACAAAAATAAACAATAATGAACAAGAGTCTGCTTCTAGACCTGCAGAAAGAGAGAAGAAAAAAATATGGGACACAACAACAATACAACAAGATCAAGCTATCACTGCGCCAACTTGATGAAGAAATATATAGACAAGAGCACTTCGGAACGGCAGTCCGGAGTGACACCTCTTTAACCCTGAGCATTTTTGGCAAGCTGCCAAACCCCTGCTAAAAGCTACCTACCGCTGACACAGCAAACGGTTCCTGCAGAACAAAGCTGATATTGTTCAGACTCCTTAAGAGTCCTCCGAGACGCAAACGAATCATCCATCTGTTGTGACCCGGAAAACATCTCTGGACTGAAGAGTCGGTGCTATGGTATTCTACAACCTCGGTGCCAGAGGTCATCCAACCTCTCTGACCTTCGGATCCACGAAGGGGGCCTTCCAAAGGTGAGGCAGACACACAGATAGCCTCTGATGCCCTTTTGATAATAATTAACTTCATAGCTTAACGCAAACCAAATTCTTCCCTTTTACACCCAGAATTCAGCTCTTGTAGATACGAAAGTTCTGATAACATCACATTCACATACTGTATAGTCACCATACATCACTTTTCATCCACCTAGATCCATCCATCACAGTAAATATTAGTTAACTTGTTGTTTTAATTGTCTGGAAATTAAATTCTTACTTTTTGTAAACTTGACTCTTTCCTTGAATCAAGACAAAATGTTCTACAATCCCTGAATGAACAAAAATCCTAGAATCTTCTGATTAAACATCCAAAGACCAAGCAGGTTGATATTCTATATTTATGTAGACTATCACAGCTTATTGGTCGTAAGCAGAGGTAATATATTAAGCTCTTAAAGCACTACATTTACCAACTCCTACAGTTGTCTTATTTGTTGGGGTGCACATTTTGTATCTAATGGGCCATTCCCATCAGTACCGGGTCGGCCCGGGCTGGGTAGCGTAGGTTGTTTACATATCTGGGTGGCCTGGTATTTTTCCGGGCCAACCAAGGCTCATTCTCAGCCCTCTTCTCGAGGGGGTCTGCTTCAGGCCGACCAGGGCCAACACACCCACTGCTGACAGCAAATTCACACCTTCCATTAGAGCAAGCCTCTGATTGGTGGGTAGAATCAGCCCACATGGGCTTAAGACAAGGATGTGTGGAATCAACCGGGCCAGGCTGGGGCCGACTGGGGCTACCCGGCCCGGGCCGACCCGGTACAGATGGGAATGACCCATAAGTTCTGTTTATGTGGGCTTTACCTCAAAAGAACCCTGAAACCTCATCTCTAAACAAACCTTATTTCACAAACCAGGGACAGACAGACAGACAGATAGATCAATATAATATAATAATAGGCTATGTATACTTTAAGTTACTGTAGCTTACAATTAAATGTGTTATTTATGAAAGATTAAATGCTTTGTGGAGTGAAATAACAGGAATTTCTGGGCCAAACCCATCCTATTTCATAGACACATCTTTGGCGTTTATAACAAATCAAACCTTTTGAAAATCGGTGGAAAATTGAGCAAGTTAGAGTTGTTTAAATAGTACATGCACCATACACCCCAATGCCAAGAAAGGGGGCAGCTGTCTGAGGTAAGATGGCCGCCAAGTTCCTACGTCGCATCCCATTGGCGAACAGCGGGGATTAGGCATCTAGTGTTTATATATAAATATCTATGTGTATGACTGTATATGTCAGGTGGGGCCTTTGACTCCTCCCCTCTCCTGGGACTTCTTTTGATGATTTACAACTTCGTCTCCCCTCCCCCTGCCACACCTGGTGTGGAGTGCGGTGCCTTGGTCTGCCTGAGTGTTTGTGGCTCCCAGGTCAGGGGGTTTAAGATTTTTGGCGTCTGCCTGATCAATCCCGGTGGCTGCCTGGTGGGGTCTGGATCCCTGGGCTCTGCTAGGTCCCGGGCGGGAGTGGTCGCCCCTGGGTCCCGGGTCGCTGGGTTCCAGGCTCGGCCGGCTAGGGGGTGGGAGGATGCGGGCGGGCCTGTGGGCTTGCTGCTGATATCTCCCGGGACTCTGCCGGCTGCTGGTTGTGGCCCCCCCGGGGCGATCCTCTGCGCCTCTCGAGGGGGGGAAGGGGCTTTTCTGGTTGCAGTCTCCCTGTGCTCTGGGGCAGCTCCTGGATCTCTGGGACTTGGAGCTCCCTCCATCTCCTACACATCTTTGGGGGGCAGATCTGTGGCCCCTCACACTATCTATTGGATGCTCCTATAGAGAAACCTTACATATACAAGCGCGTGTACACACACAGGTGCTCACATGGTGCTCTCATAAGTATGGACTTGGGCACGTTCAACACAGGTCTTAAGGCTGTGGTTGACACTTAATGCACTGTGATTTATTATTGTGTGATTGTTCAGTAAAACAATGTTGATTTTATATTTCTTCATCAAAATGATGCAGCGATAGCTTGCTCCTGTTGTATTGTTGTGTCCCTTTTCTGCAGGTCTAGAAGCAGACCCCTGTTCGTCATTGATTGTTTATTTTTTATCTTAAGGTGTTTGTTCTGAGGTTACAGACCTTCTCTTTATGCAGAATTCTGTTTTAAGTTTAGAGGAAGAGTGGATTTGACTCCTTTTGTGTTTTGTCCTAACCTAAATGCTGGGGACTCTGCGTTTAATAAGGTGCTCGTCTGGTGAAACCTTGCCCCTGCTTATCTGTCAGAACTGCTTAAGCCTTATGCTCCACCCAGAAAACTGAGATCGGCAGATCACTTGCTTTTGTGCATCCCAAAAATGAGGTATAAATCTAGTGGGGGACGGGCCTTTGCGTTTGCTGCCCCTAAACTTTGGAATGCTCTCCCCCTTAGAGTTCGACAGGCCCCAGAACTGGGTCGATTCAAGTCCGTACTGAGGGCCTACTTCTATTTAGCTTTATTGTTATAGTGACAGTTTTTTTTTACTCTAGTATGTTTCTTTTAAATTTTTAGGTTGTTCCTTTAATCTCCTACATGATTTTAATCTTGGGGTATTTCCTTTTTATTACTACTGTACAGCACTTTGGTCAGCTGTCATGCTGTTTTTAAATGTGCTTTATAAATAAACTTGGTATGGTAACTTAGCTGCCTTTCAGTAATTAAGTGACTTTTGGGTTTTAGTTTACTCTCAGAAACAAACTAAGTTTGCCTTAAGGAGTTTCAGCTCTTACTGAATATTGCTTTTGAGTTGCATTTGGGTTTTAATTTATGATTTTCTCAACACTAACTTGCAGTGTTTGTCCCCGGAGGGCTTTGGCACACCCTCTGTTTTAATTAGCCATTGTACTTACTTCATCTCTCGGTGGGTTGACTTAAAATTCTTAGTTGAAGTGGATTTATTTTGGATATAACCTGAGAGAAGAGTGAATTTAAGCTTCTTTATTAAAGAGCAAGTCGCTCCAAATGAACATTTTTTTTTTGCTGATAACCTATATAAATGAGTGTCTGATTGTGCTGTAGACAAATGTAGACAATAATACGGCACTTTAGTGCATCAGTTAAAATTTTAATATTCTGCCTAAAACTGTCAGTGATGCACCATCGTCAGGTAAAAACTCAGCACTGCATTTGAATTTAAATCTGCCATCGCTATTGGATAAGAAGTACACTATAATGTTAGATGGTAGATTATGATGTCACAATGTCGTGAGTGTGTGTATTTGTTAGTGGCTCCGCCCTCTTGTTCTGCTAGGCAACATCATTTTTCAAACAGGAAGAGTGAGTTGAGTGAGAATCTGGTAGGGGGTGACTTGCTCTTTAAGCTTGTATTTTAGTTCCTTTAGAAAATCAGGTTCATTATGTTGCCAACAAGTAGTCCGAACAGAACCTTTCAAAATAAAGGCTGTTTAAAACAGGTAATTCATGACTAATCTTCCTTATGTTATGGCGCCTTGGCTCCTAGACTGAGTGTTATAACAATTGCTGTGTGATATGACTAATGGAACTTTGACTAATAACTGTCAGCTGAATTAACAGAGCAGGAAATGTTAAACTTTCTTCTTTTGTGAATCAAGATGTCTTTGGTTTATTAGGTAAAAAATAGGAGTTCAGTAGACAGTACTACTGTACGACACAAAGGAGCAAATTAATGACATCAGCAGACTTGACATCAATGAGCTGATAAATGGTTCAGGGTAAAGCTCCATTCTACTTGATCTGTGATGGATCTTAACAAAAAAAGTCCACTTCTCAGTCAATTCAAGCTATATTAATAGTATGAGGGCTACTTTTTCTTTAACAGGTTTGAAATAATTACAATTTAATTGCCACTCACAGTTAATCACCATTTCTTGAACATTTTTAAATGGTCCTTAATTGTTCTTCAAAATTTCTGCAGTTTTTACATTTTTTTTAGTTTTTGTATCTGAATATTACAGCTTATATAACCAGCACCAGTGTTTATGAGAAAACAAGTGAAGATAAAAAGTTTCACGGTCTACAAAGACAAAATGCTGTTGATTTAGCTGCATCATTTTCTGAAAACATTTTCTTTTCAAGTCAAATATGACAAAAGTGGTATTACACATCTGGGTTGTTGCTGAACCAAACACGAAAAGTCTAGTCACAAAAGTCCCAACTTTATTGCACCATAACAGTTCTTTTTATCCTGGTCTGTAAACAGTATGTCAAAAACAAAAATTGTGAACATGTGAACTATTCACTGATGGGAATATTTTTTTGTAACACTCAAGACTCAGATTTATAACATGTTACTGCCTCTCCTGTATTGCATTGCACATCTTTAGTGACACAGGGAAGATGTCCCATAAAAATAGGAATTTCATGCTCATACACACCTGCAGATAAATTAACATCCATCAACTAATCTGAGCAATATAGATTCATCATTTCTTTTTACATATTTTGACAATAAATCTTGTGTTTTTTAAAGCCAATTCAAGTTAAATTCTAGAATAAAACAAGATGTACAGGGGCAAATCTATACAGCGTACAAGAGATATCAATAAGGTGAACTGTACACTCTTCTACAGTGGCTAAGCATTTCCTTAAAAGGTCTCCTATCTGTGCAGAGTGGTGGATGATGACCCAGATGGGCCTTCACACTTGAAATTCTTTATAGAAAACAGTATCTACAACATGTACAGATGGTGGTCCTGGTGGAAGGATCACACGGATAGAATGGGAAGAGGAAGAGACACAGGACGTCTGGATTCTTGAATCTCAGCCCAGTCTCTACAGGTTACCAGAGATGGTTGGTAAATTGCATAAAGGTAAAAAAACAAAAAAAAAAAAAAAACATGAAATAGAGGTGGGGGTGATGGGGAGGGTTGTCCCATTCTTACAAAGCAGCCTGTTCAAAATGTTATGTTCAAATTGAAGAGTGAGCAAAACACTGGATTCTTCTTGATAAAATACATGGATTTTGATCTAAACTGTAAAAACCCTCTTCTATAAACTGGGTGCTTGTTCTTTTGAGTTGAATTAGAAAATGAACACAAATATATGTATAAAACTCTTCTGGCATGGTTAGATATTTAACAAAAAAAATCATTGGTGAGAAACAATGAACCTTTTGAAGTTGCATCCATTTTTAGGACACAGACTGAAGTAATAAGGGGAAACAGTACTAAAATAATAAATTAAACTAAAATATACAGTTACATTGCTCTTAGATATTTGTCATTTTATATAATTTCAGAAAAGGCTTCAGATAAAAGGTCACTTCTTTACTAACTTAAAAGCCCTTTAGTTTGCTCTGAGATTGTATGCAAACCAGCCACAAATCAAAGCCTATTACTCACAAATATGGTGCATTTCTTTTGATTTGGCAATAGTTTCCAGTAGGATAGCCAAGGCTCAGAGAATGCAAGCAAACATAAATCATGTTAAGTGGATTTGTGAGGGTATAACAGGATTACACTGACTCACATAAATTGAATTAAACTTTATGGCTGGAAATCATTCAGTGAGCTCGTTCTGGAAAATTAGCTAAACTTGGTAAACATTAAGTCAATACAATGA